TCTTGTTGATAATGTAGAACAAGAAAGTAGACTGGCGAATCTTTCTAATGATACTAATAATAAACAAAGTTTTATTTAGAATTATCTGGAAAAGTTACCATCTACAGAAAAGTATAAGAAACGTGTCAAGTGTTTTGTTAAAATTTCTGGTCAACCTTGCGGACATATAATGAAATCTGATGGTAGTACTAGAAATTTTATTTTTCATTTAGCAAAGCATCATATTACACGCGATAGTAATCTATCACAGAATAATAAAAATGTTGATGAAACTCAAAATATTTCTGCCAAAAAAAATCAATTAGATAGAAAGTTTGTTGGAATTATTATAAAAGATGATCAACTAATAAGCATTAGAAATGATGAAGGGTTTCACGAATTTGTGAAAGAATTAGATCCACTTTATGAATTACCAAGCAATAAAAAAGTGAGAGAACTGCTAGTTAAGAGTTATAATTTTTGTAAAAAAGAAATTATTCATCTATTTGAACAAGGTATTATATCATGCTCTTTAACCTTAGACCTTTAGACATCAAGGAGCAGAGCTGGTTACTTAGGTGTGACTTGTTCATTTGTAAATACTCAATTTAAATTTTGTGAAGCTACTTTGGTAATTGAATATTTAAAATATCCACATACAAGTGAAAATATTGTTGATTGCCTTAATCAAATAATTAGAAAATGAAATTTAGAAGGAAAAATCTTTACAATAACTACTGATAATGGAAGCAACATGGTTAAAGCTGATAACCTACTTAAAATTTCTAATAATATCACACGTTTACTATATGCAGCTCATACACTCCAAATAGTAGTAGGAAAAGGGCTTATTCCAGCAGAGAGATTAGTTGCACGAGCAAAATGTTTAATTAGTTTCTTTACTACACCAAAACAAACTAAACGATTAATTGAAATTCAAAAAAATATGAGACATAATCAGGAAGAGATAAATTAATAATTTAATAAAAATCTATAATTGTAATTAATTTATTTTCTAATATTTGATATTTAATTCCTTTAATCT